CTGTTGGTCTGGCCAAGATTCAAGATAGATGATCCCCTAGTTGACTATCTTCCACTTTCTGGAAGAGAAAGTTGTCCCCTACACAAGTTAGGAACCAGTTGACATTTTATGTTCGGTTTCATTGTTCTTTCATTGTTCTTCCAGCAGATATCTGGAAAATTGAAGTCTCCCACCAGTACCATCCTATAGCTTTTGGATAGATTTGTCATGTGCTTGAAGAGTGCCTTATCCACCTCCTCTTCCTGATTAGTTGTGCCACCTTTCATCTTCACCCAAATGCATTCTGCTTTGCCATCCTCTTCCTCCTGAACCAGGGAACAAGTATATACATGTTTTTGACATATGGAGCAACACTTCCACCTTTTCTCCCAACTCTGTCCTTCCGAAACAGCGTTACCCTCTATGTTCACATTCCAGTCATAAGAGCTGTCCCTCCAGGCTTCAGTGATGCCTATCATATCATAGCTCTTTCCACAGGCTGCAGCTTCCAGCTCATCTTGTTTATTCCCCATACTTCTTGCATTTGTATTTATGCATCAAATGTATTTTGACCCCCTTGCTTCCCTTTTATGGCACTTGTTGCAGTCCTGTAGTTCTCTAGCCCTTTCCCAGAGCTGAGTTACTTCTTCGAGTCCTTTCCCCTCTGGACTGCATGCTCTGTTACTGTGGGGTTTTGATGACTATTCCCAATGGACCCTAGTTTAAAGCCCTGCTTATTAGGTTGGTCAGATGATGCCCAAAGATGCTCTTCCCCATTCTCAGCAGATGGATCCCATCTTTGGATAGCAGCCCTCTTCCCAAGAACATCCACCCATTGTCGAAGAAGGCAAAGCCACGCATCGACACCACCATCTCTACCGCTCATCCAGTTGCCACCCCATATTTATACTTCCATTCATGCTGCCTAGTGAAACAGTCCTATATGGCCTGGATGTGAGTGGGGCTTATTTTTTGGCAGCACCCATGGGATTACACTTGAGGCCATACAGCTATAGCCACAATAGCCACATTCCCCTCTTTCTCTAGTGCAAATTAGCTGTATACCTTTGGGCTCCTTATAAAAGTACATTATAACTAAGGAAAGCTTGGGTCTGAGCCTCTTGGGGCTGATCCTTATCATTCTGACACAGCAATAAGTCAAGGCTTCCAGGTAAAAAGCCATGGGTTTATCCCAGTGGTGTGGGATCCTTATCAGGGGCCCAGGGTTTTGGCAGCTTAGAACTAGATGTGTTTTAAGCTTTTTTGACTACAGTAATAGTGCTGATTGTATTATCTTGTTCCGAAAAGACACTAATGTTTTGTGTCAAAGGAGCAGCCAGCATTCTGCTTACAGTACCTTGTTCTGCCCTGTTCTCCTGACTTTCATGTGCACTGAAACTTCAGCTGCCTCCCATATGCAAAATAGGTAGCTTGTCTGAAATTCTGCGCTCAGCACCCCTCCTCTGGCTGCTCTACATACTAATAATAAAAGCAGGAAAGAATGAAGAATTTAATATCTGTCACAGCATATTTTTACTTTCAGAAAATATTAATTGGATGCAGCTCTTTTCAGCTTAAAAGCCCGTGTAGGCTGGAAAGGAATAAAACAAGTTACAGTTTTAGTCATACTTTTTACCCTTAGGCAAACTCACCATAACAGCTGCTGAAATTAAATTAGGATCTATACTTGCTTCTGGAAGCTTTCCAGCTTCTCTCTGGGTGAAACACATACTTTAATAGGACGTGAAACCTGAGCTGAAAGCAAATATTTTTGCCAGGTCTAACTTTTCATAAATGCAATATGGGAAATTGCATTCTGATATCGTGGGAAAGATATGTAACGTTTGTTCCAATATCTTTAAGTGTGTGGCAAATGTCTTCTTTAAATGTCTGTTAAACATCATTAATAATTTGTTTTTCAAACTGAATGGCTTTGCCGATATTTTTGTTCCTCACATCTCTGCAGCCTAGAGAATGAAATTTAAAAATAGTTTTAAAAGCAGGAATTTTATTTTGAAAAGGACAAAGTTTGCTATGGGAGAAAATAAATCCCTGTACTGAAGATGACAGGAAATACAATTATAGACAGAGATAGAGGTAAGGATTGAAACCTGCAACCGAGTTATTAAAAATGAGTAGTTATGCTTTTGCCTCAATATTTAACTACCAAAATCCAATTTTTCAAAAGTGCCCAGTATCCAGCAGCTCTAGCTCACTGGAGCAGAATGCTCCATCTTTCAAAAACTGGGATATTTATTTAGGAGCCTAAATTTTTGATAATTCATATGCCTTAAAGCAGGGTTGTCCAACTGGCAGCTTATGGGCCATATACAGCCTGTAAAAGGTTAATTTGAGGCCTCTGGGCTCTCCTGTCCACCATTCCCCTTATTGCTCTGGCTGTTACTGCAGCAGCGGTCTCCAGGCTCCTCTCCCTTCTCTCCCCAGGGAGCATGGTGTAGCACAGTTTGCAGTGCCAGAGGAGCTTGCACCCAAGGAGGTGAGGTGGGGTGGGCGCCCACCTGCCCACGTGGTGCAACGGTGAGAGGACTTCCTGCCTGTCTGGTATCAAAGGAGTTTGAAGCTGGTGAGCTGAAGCGGGGAGGAAGTGGGGCATGGCCCCTGCTTCTGTAGGCCCCTCTCTCCGCCCCCACCTGACGTGGTGTGTGGCGCCTGGCCACTAAGAGGTTGGACATCTCTTTTTGAAGTACAAACAAACTTTAACAAAGGCAGGGATACAACAGAGCTCAGCAATATCATGGTTGCTCTGGGAAAAGTGACTAAAAGGAAACATATTCACTAAATCTCTTAATACAAGAACTGGGAGTCGCACAATGAAACTATCCAGTGGGAGGTGTCAGATACTGGGCTAGACAGACCTTTGGTATGACCCAATATGGCCGTCCTTCTGTTCTTATGCAGACCTTACCTAGATGGCTTTGAGGGTCAACTACTCCAGCACCATAAAGAGCAAAGCCTGCCTCTCTTCAGGGGGTTGAACTGGATGATCCTTGAGATTCCTTTCAGTCCTATGACTCTA